AGACGCTTCACATGTGTCATTATTCATTCATTCCAAACACGGTGGTGATAAACTACTAATGTAGCCACAGCTGCCCTGGGGCACACTGACAGAAGCGAGGCAACCAGTATGTGCCATCGGCCCCTCCGACCACCACCAACCATTCACACACACACACCAGACTCATTCTAGGCAATGGGGGTGAAGTGTCTTGCCTAAGGACACAACGGCAGTTTGGCACTTTACAGCCGCAGCCACCCCACTGTGGCTGGTGTTCCCAGAGGTTAAGTGTCTTGCCAAGGACACAACGACAGTAGTCAGTGGGAGTAGATGGTGAAAGTCTTGAGCGGGGCTTGAACCCACGACCTTCTGGCTCAAAGGCCAACGCTCTACCAACTGAGCTACTGCCGCCCTTTACCACAACGGTCCAATACAGTGACCGCATCACTGCGCACGCTGCACCGATCCGCCTGTCAATCTCGCGCTCTATCCTTCCCTCACTCGTGAACAAGACCCCGAGATACTTGAACTCCTCCACTTGAGGAAGGGCCTCTCCACCCACCTGTAGAGGGCAAGGCACGTTTTTCCGGTCGAGCACCATGACCTCAGATTTGGAGGTGCTGATTCTCATCCCAGCCGCTTCACACTCGGCTGCAAACCGCCCCAGTGGATGTTGTAGGTCCTGGTTCGTTGGAGCCAACAGGACAACATCATCCGCAAACACATGTGGACAGGTTGGGCGAACTCCCATGAACTCCCATGATCAGGTGCACCTTGACATCACCTATTTGTACTGCGTGTTTGTGTTTAACCATATGTACCCACATCCTCTCACCAACTTATAAAAACATTAAGAAGAAACATTTTGCATTATCTTTGACCCTAAAATCAGATGAACAGTCAAATCACTTATTGTTTGTTATAGAATGTGAAACGCAATGCTAGAGGTATGTTTTTGATGAGGGAACAATGTTCCAAAAATTCAATTATTCAAGTATGTAGGGTGAGAAAATGTCGATATCACACATAACTTAAGTTATGTACTTGATATCGGAGAATTGGATAAAAACAACCATGGTGCGGGCGGCACGGTGGCTGAGTGGATAGCACTCTCGCCTCTCAGCAAGAAGGTCCTTGGTTCGAATCCCGGCCGGACAAGGGCCTTTCTGAGTGGAGTTTGCATGTTCTCCCCGTGTCTGCGTAGGTTTCCTCCGGGTACTCCGGTTTCCCCTACCACTAAAAATATGTACAATAGGTCTGGCATGCGCCTCCTGTTCGGCGACCCCGCTCCCATCTCTGTGTGGAGTGAGAGGACAAGTGCCCAATAAATAACCATTGTAAACCGCTTTGTGACTCTGGTCTGTAAAAGGCGGTATATAAATAAAGATTACTTACTTACTTACTTACTTACTAATAAATACAATAATTGATAATAGCTTTATTTAGGGGCACCAGGGAATAACTCCCAACTGATAACGTGTATATGACGTCACAATATCAATTAATTGGCTCATTTATTGATTAAGTAATCTCATGAGTCCTTTCATTATTTAATTACTGTAGCTATTTAGTCCAATTCTCTTCAATAGAATCTGAAGGTAGTGAATTCTTTTACAAATCAGTGACCCAATTTCTGGAGTTAAAAGTACAAATATCACTTTCAGACAAAGATGGTTTTGTAGATTTAATGAAGTACACACAATACAGACTAGATATGAAATATGCAAATTGTCAAGAATAACATGAAGGAAACGTTGATTTCAAGATACATTGTTAAAATGCTAGGCAAAAGTGAGTTAAGCAAGACCTTTGTCTATGAATGGATTGGTATAGGCTGAGGCCTGCATGTGTTCAGCCTTGGTAAGAGAAGTATTCTTTGAAGTAAAGGTTTTAATAAAGCCAACAACTGTGTGTAGCAAGAGAGCAGATCATACAACCAGAATAGCCTTTGGTGAATAGCAGTCCTTGGGTCTTGATGGCGTTGGATGGAGGCTTCATGTCCACGGGGCCTGGACCATGCAGCTGCATCATGTGGCTGAACCAAGTCCTCCCACGATCCACAGTCTAGGTGCCAAAACTCAGCAACTTCTTCAGGTTGAAGCTGGAGGCTATTGAAGGGTTGTGGAAGTCCTCTCAAACGTGGAGCTGAGGTTTGAGGCCATCTAAGAGGCCCAAGGCCCCTTGGTTGCCTGAGCAGAGCCCAGGGCAGAGCCCAGGGAGGTCTGGTCTCTCTGTGGTTCCCACGCAGACTGGTTTGTCTTCCCTGTGGGTCCTTGTAAGTCTTCACATCTTGTAGAGTCGTTGGGGGAAGGGTGTTGCCATGGCACTTATCTTAAGACATTCTTACCCACAATAAAACCTGAACCACAAGGATTTACACACAGTGGAGACAGAAGTTATAATATGTCTCAATATACAACAAAATGTCTTTGATTGAGGAAAGAGGTCATTTTAATTTCTCCTACAAGTATTATCAACATAGGTTTTTGGATACTTGTTTCAAAAGATAAAGATGATCAATGTATGTAACCACCAAGGAGAGGTGCATCTTTTTTCAACATAAAATATTGTAAAGAAAATCTATTCAGCAAAGAAATTTAAAAACAAATGTGGATACGATAAATGTGTTACTTGTAAGAAAAGCAAACAAAGATGAGAAAAGTGCTCTAAACACTCCTGTCTCCCATCCTGTTCTAACCAGGCCTTCACTGCTTAGTTGCACTCCTCTAGGCTGTTGTTCGGTCTGTAGTCTTTTAGCACAGTTGACAATGTTTAATTTTTGTTTATTTCCACCTTTTTCTCTACGCACTCAAACATGTGTAACTCAAGGTTCCACTTGATTGAAAATAAGAATACGGTGAACCAATTTCCAAGTCTCTCTTGTTTGTAAAGTAGTCATTTGCCTCCATTTGAAAGTAATTGTGTTGCTTTCAAGTGCTGTTTTCTTTCACGGAAATGGCTGGGGGAGACTCAAATCAATTATTACAGCTTTCACTTGTAATCCATCAGCTGGGAGATGGCAGCGCGAATGTAATTTTAGTGCATGAAGAAAAGGGCGTTAACAGCCCAATGAGGCGGGCAGGGGCAGACTGGACATGGATGGGAGATGGCAGGGTGGTCTGAGTTGCAATGTATTCAGTCAGTTTGAATTTTAAATGTTACAATAAATGCAGCTTGGTCACATTTGACAAAAAATGAGAGTACACACAGCATAGCATACGGATTATGAGTGGATGTGTTTACTTTACTGTTTATTTAAAGAGGACATGCTGTGCTTGGAGGATAGTGCAATATTACATTTCACGGCCCTTATTCAAATGAGTTCTTAAAGACATATTTCTCTAACACCCACATGTGAATTATTATTCTAGTACAGTATCTAAATATGTTTACATTATTATTGCACTCAAGCACCATCGACCAAGATGTCTGCCCATTCAAGTCAATGGCCTGTGTTCAGTATGGTCTCACAATGGACCTTTGGTCCTGTTTATTTTTGAATAAATAAATCCATTGCCTTTTTGTCAATGTTTTAAAATCCGGGTTGCAAGTATGCATTTTACTGCTTACCTGTAAGATCTGCCATGTTCTTTCATTCCTAAATCCCCAAAACGCTGGACATGCTGACCAAGTTGATTCTGCTGTCCTTCTGTGTTAGTTTCTCAAGATACTTGTCCAAACAGAAGGCAATTTCTTTGACTCAGAATGATATGACCACCGGGTTTAGTACATTTTACATGTCTTAAACCAGAGGCCTCCAAATTGTAGCTCTGGAGCTGCTAGTCACTCACCACTCCTGTCCATTAAGCTCCCTAAAGGATTTAAAAATAAATACATAAAATGTTATACTGTATATTTCAGAACTATTATAAATGCAAACTTTCTTTGTACATGAGGAATGACTATTACAGCAGTACCTGATCACAGGACGTTTATAGAAGTAGCTCTTTTGTGAACAAATTAGACCCAACGTGGCTGACTTCATGAAATTAGAAAACATTTGATCTTTTACATTGCGATAATTTAAGATAAGAGAACCTTTATTCGTCCCACAGTGGGGATTTGGCTGAGTTGATGGTTTTATGGACCGAACCATACAGATCAGGTGAAAATCCCCTGGAGGAATGCTAAAAGTTTTTGAAAATGCTAATGAAGCATTTAGCATTTTACTTTGGACTAGAGCCGAGAAAATCGTCCGAACCAAGCGGCTACTCCACCTCTGCTGCTGTGACCTGTCATGCTCCACCCAGAAGCTACTCCATCTCTGCCCCACCCAGAGGCTGCTGTGACCTTTTTCGAATGATCAATTTTATTTTTATTTTTGCTGCTACTGGACATCTGCATTTTTCCTACGGGGATCCATAAAGAATCTTTCTAAGTTAGTTTCTAAGTTATTGTTGAAAATGGATAGTTTAAGGCTTAGTTCTTAGGAGCATCTCATCACTTAGCTCATCTTTGTGCTTTACTCAATAAAAATGCAAAAATATTAAAAGTGTAGTTAGGACTTCAGAGGCTTGAGTGGGATTGATTCTCTATGGAAACCTCATTGTTTTGCCTGGAAATAGCATGAAGCTTCACCATAGAAACTGGCAAGTGACTACTCAAAATTACTCATGAATTGACTAAACGAAAGATGTAATGTTATTCAAGATTATGGCACATTTTCAGAATCTCTCAGCTGATAGATAGTGCATCTATAATTTAGCACCATTCCTTGACGCAAACCAATTGTGTGGATAAAGAGAAATTCCCTGTTCTATGGTAGAGAGTGGGAGTGCTGTGTGTCAGCGTGATATTTGCGAGGCAGCGAGTGAGTAAGGCAGCTCCAGCGTCTGCGTACGAGTTCTGCTTTCCCATCCAAGAATGCGCAAAGTTGACGGGGGCGATAGGATACCCTTGACCTACACCTCCGCACTAGCGCATAGACATGCGCACTACTCTCACTGCAGGCGTTTGGAAACACTTTTCTTTCTGTTCTCTGATAATATTCTGATCTATTTTGAATTGCATTTTCTTTTCAGACATATGATGCATACGTGGAATGATGGGAGGGACCTGTCTTTCACCCCTGACGGGTACCAGGCCAACCCCAAACTGGTGGTGATCGTCCTTAACCGGGAGAAGAAGTGGGAGAAGGTAATTACACAGACAAGCTGCGGATGGGGAAAGAATGCAAGCGCAGAATCAGTTGCCACGGTGATTCAAGCGGCATAGTTTCTACTGAGCTATGCAAAAATTTTATGATTGCAATATGGACAACACAACATCAAGTATCTGCAGGCTGGATTAACGATGCTTACACAAATAGAACAAAGTGAAAACATGTTTTTTTTTTATGTTATATATTTGTTTTAACCTCTAAAGTTAGACACATATTCAATTTCATTATGAAATGAAAGCTGTGACTTTTTTTTCTTTACACATTGATCTATGTTTAAGCGTGAGGTTAAACATAGATCAATGCACAATGTACAAATACACAACTCAGGCTATAACAATACACATCAAAGGAGTGAGGCTCAAAGCCTCATACAGTTGCATGGTGGGAGAAGCAGAACTTTGACATATCTTTAAGCCCAGTTCTAAGGCTGAGTGAAATATCGTATATGTCAGTTTTGGCTTTGATAGGACCAAGCAGTGCATGCAGTGTGAACTCGCTCCTGACCTCGGATTGGTCCATAGGACACGAGTTTGGAGGTTGATGCTAGCTCCAATGCTAGCTTTGGTGCTGACATACGGCTGACATCGGTATCGATGCATCCCCAGCCTCTGCGGCAGTATGACTCCCATCTCATACAGCCAGGCTTCATTCCTCTTGTTTTTTACAGACAAATTAATTCAGCTGCACTGTATGAACCATGGATCTATTATAATAGCCGGATAATGTATAACTAGCTTAGAGCTGAAGGACCCATGTGCTCACGGGATTCTCGCGGTACTGCAGACGAAACAAGACTAAATTTACTTGGACTACCCAGAAATTTGCCCCATAGAACTCAATGTAAACTAAAACAGCTCGACCTCACCTGACAGACTGTCTACGGCTTTCATAAAGATCGGATTTTATGGGGATTTTAGTGTCCCTTGTGATCCTGATCTTTTTTTTTTTCTTAAATCCTTCGGTTCTAACTCCAGCTCTAGCTCCGCTCTGATCAGCAACTCTGATTGGTCAAAGCGCGGCCGAGCCCCTCTGTGCACATGCGTGAGAACCACACACGCGTATATGACGCAACACGTCATGGGAGCTCGTCCACTGCACAGAACCGGGAGGACCAGACGATGCCCAAATATAGGCAAGTTCCGTTAATCTTTCGGCGCCCATGCCGGCACATGCGCCACTGAGCACAAACCATTCATTTGAGTACGGCGCCATCTTGGATGAATTGTGGGTAAAATATCATTATGTGATTTGAATCACAAGTTGGTGTGTTGTTAAAACCCTACATATGACTTGCGTAAAAGTCTCATCAAAAAGATTCTCAGTCTTGCTGTGAGAATTGTCTTAAGGAGGCACTGAAAAAGACTGTCCGTCCGAGAACCCAGAACTTTCTCACATAAATATACACAAAGTGTGGAAGTTGTATCTGGATTTTCTTTCTTTCTTTTATCAGTGTGTCATATGTGTAAGTATTTTTTCAGGAAATACTGGCCCATTGTACATCATATTTGCTTGGTAACAATCCTCATTAAAAAATAAACACAATTCGGATTAATTGTATGTGCCATTTGCAGTAAAACCACAATGATACAACTTGAAAACATTTTAGCAAATCTAATAGTCCAATGTATGCTACAGAAGTTATTCACATTAATTATAACCTCACATTGTCAAGATGGTTTTGACGTGTTCCCCTGGCCTGCTTCTCAGATGGGCCGCTGGGAGAACGGGACCCTGGGGCTGATGTTCGCTGTGTGGCCTCGGTATAACTCGTATGGAGACGAAGACGCAGATGAGAACCACCTGTCCATTGTGACTCTGGAGGAGAAGCCCTTTGTGATCGTGGACAACGTGGACATCCTGACGGGCACCTGTATGCGCAACTCTGTGCCCTGCCGCAGACACATCAAAGAGTAAGAGTGCACTCACACTGAACTGAACTGTTATTGTATTAGCGAAATGCTTGGCATGATTGTGTTTTATTCTAGCTATCTGCTACATAAGGTAAGCTTTGGTTCAGTACATGTTTTTTTCCTCTTTTTAGGCGAAATCTCAATAAACGTTTAAATGTGTATAGGGAAGTAGCTTTGCCAGAACTTCTTGCATGTAAAAGATGCTATGAATAGTGTAATTACTCTGAAGTACACCCAGATGGGAAAAACAATGTTGATGTGGCTTACAGGAACGCAAATGGTAGGTATTTGGTCTCTAAAAGTCATGCGATGAAACTCGTCCGGAGCAGAGTTATCCGGAATTGTCCGCTCTTGATGTCTGCTGATGTATTGCTGGGCCAGACACTTAACCCTACGTTGCCGGAAAGCCCCCACTGGAGGACTAAAGGTTTTCTATGTTGCTGACAGAGCAGCCATCTTCTCATAGACACACCATCTGAAGGAGCATCAGCAAGGGGCCAAGGATCGGTGGCTGCCCTGTATGCTTCACCACTGATCTGAAAATGAGCTAATAAATGGGATTAGAATAATAAAGAACTTGATTTTTGCAAACCATTGTCAAAGTGACGCTTGTAAATCTTGAATGTAAGTCAATTGAACCAAAACGAGTGGGAGCAAAACTTTCCTCCTATGCATTGTCTATCAATATACAGTCTTTTCTATGAACACCTGCAGGTTCTGTGTAAAGTCCGCTCTGTTCACTCACTCAATCACTTCCATTAAGCAAACATGACTCACAACGTCCTTTAGAAAGACTTTCCCTAAATGTAGCCGTACAGCTGATGAGATGAGCTTCACCCTCAAAGTCACTCCAGGGGCGAGATTATTGCATTTATGATCTACAACCTTCAACGTGTGCTGACATTGTGAAATGGAATATCACATTGGGTAAATATACACAAGCACGGGGCGCATAAGAATGACCCCCCATAAGCCATCTCATAAAGGCTACAGTGTAAGGTTTGTCATAGCAGTATGCCAAGCAGCGGAGACAAGGCTGATGCTTGCACACTCCACAATAACCCCTTGTATTAGCAGAAAACACAATATAACACAACATAAAAAATAGTGGCTGGCATAGTGTACAGAAACATCTGTGCAGAGTATGGGCTGGAAACCCCAAGGTCTAAGTGGGAAACTCCTCCAAAGGTGGTGGAGAATGAGCATGCAAAGATCCTGTGGGACTTCCAGATACAGACCGACCGAATGGTAATGGCGAACCAACCTGACATTGTGGTGGAAATGTGCAGTGCTAGGAACAGCAAAGATTCTGCGCAGAACCCTCAAGCTCCCAGGCCTCTGGTAGAGCGAAAGGTGTGTGTTTTTTTTCATTTGTTTTTATTGTTCAAGTTGCTAGAACTACGGATATGATTCCAGATAGGTTTGTGGAATAATATTTACACATGGGAAAAGGAGCTAAAGGAAAGAAGCCCTCTATGTCTTTGTCTAGAGGTGTGCAACAGGAACAGTTGGTACAATGGTGTGTTGGATCCATACTTTGCAAAAATATCTAAACTGTTTTTGAGTGGATAAATATGACAAAAAAAGTATTGAAAGTTTTTAAAGCTCAATTTTACATAAAAAGACTCACAATTATGTTAACGTTCCAACATTATTCCTCAAAAACAGATCAGGAGTTGCTTTGGTCCATCCACTGCTAATATCAGGAACTTAAGGGCACAATCCCACACCCTTTTCTGGCTAAATGCTCCTATCTCAAACTTGGTATGCCATGATGTCCATACAATATAACTTCCTGGACTTGCTGTTTTAAAACAAAAGTTTTTTTGTTTAAATAAATATGTTTATATGTACAGCATGTGACTTAGTTTTGTATTTCTTTATTTTATTCATTCATTTTAGTGGGACAGTGCACATAAATCTACATATGTTTACGTAAATATGCCAGATTTAGTCATGAAGGCCAGATTTAGATTCATGAAGGCTACTTTCCATCTGTAGTCCCATGGTAGGTTGGTGCTACAGCCATCAACGGTTATTTAAAGCCACATACATAAAAAGCAAGCAAGTCATGTGAAAGCATTCAAAATCTATGATCCATGATAGAGGAATGTAAATTGTCTGCACCAAATCGAGCAAAGAAAAAACATATCTATCACAAGAAAATGGAATCAAACCACTTCACAAAAAGTGGGTTGCCACCAGGACAGTTGAGGAATGCACTTTTAAAGTAATTATGTCACATTCTAAAACATGAAAGGACACAATCTTCAAAATCATCTTTTAGAGAAAACATGTACAAAAATAACACATCAGTATTTGTAAAGGAACTCTCTAGACTTTGTAGCTTTGGACTTTGTTGCTGTTAGCCAACCTAAAGCCCCAGAGCTTTTCTATAAAAGTGGATGCTCTATTGTCGTTCTGGATTCAGCTTCTCTGCACTGACATCAGTCGCCCGATCTTCTCTGGTCCTGTCCCCAAAGCTTTTTACTTTGTGAAGTCTGTCCGACTTGGAGGAGACGGGTTAAGCGTTCAGCTCGCTCTGACCTCTCCTCCATTATTTATAAAAGTTCTATTTCCTTCAATCGCCAAGGTTCACTTTCTTCCACTTGCCTTTTTGGTATTCACAACTGGTTCAAGTTTACAGACATGATGTTCAAAGTGTTGATCACCATGTCATGGCATAACATGATGTCATGTTCATAGAAATTGAAAAAGGTGGTTACATAGCATTTGAATGAAAGTCAAGTTTTTTCACACAAACAATGCATTGTATTTGTTCTAACTGAAAGAAATCAGACCACAACATGCAGTCTTCATCTTGTTAAAAATATGTTCTATCTCTATTAGAGCCCCGTGGGTGGCACGGTGGCTGGGTGGATAGCACTCTATCCCGGTCAGAACAGGGCCTTTCTGAGTGGAGTTTGCATGTTCTCCCCGTGTCTGCGTAGGTTTCCTCCGGGTGCTCCGGTTTCCCCTACCACTAAAAGCATTCACGATAGATATGAATGTAAATGAGTGAGTGAATGGATGGTGTTGATTGGGGCTGATGCGCCAGTATGTTCGGCGTCTCGCTTCTGTCATCATCGTGTGTGGAATGATTGGAACAATATCTGAACTCTGAACATTGTAAAGCGCTTTGGGTGACCTTGGTCTGTAAAATGCGCTATATAAATAAACATTACTTACTTACTTACTACTGTGAGGCACTATGTGACACTTTGAGCTGACGGAGACCAGATGATACATGCATGTAAAACTGGAGCCAAGCTGTATTACTTTTATGACAGTTCCCTTTTTTTTGTTTTTTTGAAAGTTAGGTACCCAACTTTAACAAACTTACAATGTAAAAGTATCCATGTGTTTCTTTTTTTTTCAGATATGTAAATCAATATGCATAGATTGTGTTAGTAAATTAAATTAATAGGGGGAAAATTATTTAACCAATCAAAAACAAATCAAACTGAAAAAAATCAATTGTGAGATTTTTCAATTGGTTATAAAGTTGGAATCAGAGGAAGACACACAGTCGTGAGTGTAAAAAGTGAAAATCAAGGGACTCACAAACACATCGTTGATAGGGGTATCTCCTTTTTTCTCTCCTCTCTCCTCAGAATTTGGCAATGGCGAACAGCACGGCTCCTAGTAGCAGCACTTTTTTCCTTGCATTTGAGCAGAATGTGACTCTTGTTGGTGGAAAATGTTCAAACGCAGACACTTCTCATTCACTTCCTTCATGGCAGCAGTCCCTTTGCGTGGGTTTGCCTATTTTTAGTAACAATTAAAAATGCTGTTGGCAATAAGTGAATTTTCTGCATGCAATAAGTCATGGTTGAAAATCAGTGCAAAAGCCTGATATTACTATCATGATAAGAAGTTTAATTTCCGCTCCCACCAGACCCCTTGCATGTTGAGTTTAACCTGGCTGTGAACTCATTTTCTGCAGCCTTTGCATTACTTTAGGTCCTATTACGCCTCATTGACATTCAGAACTTGTTGTCTTCTCCCCATGACACGTTTGCATGGATTTCTTATTTTTAGCGTGACATTATCTGCACTCATCTGCGGAAAATGCAGAGGATTGGTTGTTATCTGCGATCGCCCGGCTCCTGATAAGACACTCAATGTGAGAAAAAAAAAACACAAGATTGAGTTTCTCGTGTATCGCAGATTTGATATAAAACAGTCACATTGAATTATGGCCCTAAAGAGCAGATGGGGCTATTGGAGGAGTGGAATCAGATGTGGTCTAAAATAATTGTCTTTTTATTTGTTTGAAGGTCAGATTTATTAATGAGCATGGAGAACAAACAGTTAGCCCTGCCCATTTTACCCTTTTCAACATGCTGATGATGCTCTGTTATTTTGTTCAGTACCTTCCTTTTATCTATTATTTATTTTGATTGATATTATTTTTTATGTTATTTTGACTGCCATAGTAAACGCAAGTGTTTGTTTATTTAGAAGTTATACCATGCGTCGCCAGCGGAAGGCACTTGACGCCATTTTAAATACACTTCATAGCCACGTGAGTCACAACAGACTTGGAAAGAAACATGGCAGGTAAAACACATGAGGAAAGTGTAAGAAATTTAACAGTGTGAAACCCTAGTTCACACTGTTAAAGCTAGACTGATAGCTCATCCCTGCTGACTGTTGTCTGCAGAGATCTTCTCCGGTGAGTCTATGTGATGTTATTTTATAAAACAATTACTGTTTTTTGGGAATCCTTTTATTTTATTTCTTATTGTATTATTTCTCATTGTATTTATCAAATCTTTTTTTGCTGAGATGCTCAGACTTTTCACGCTAGGGATTGGTATAAGATAAGATAAGATTAGATTTGATAAGATATTCCCACAATGGGGAAATTTCAGTGTCAGTCTCAATACTTGATTACCAATTCAATACAGTAAGGATACACTGAGGACCCCTGCTGATACGATGCAATATGATTCACCCCTGTCAGCCATATGATGCAATTCTATTTACCCTGTCAG